ATCACAACTCACTTTTTTTATACAAAATCAATATAAAAAAGTGAATTGCAGTATTGGGATTCACTTTTTTATATGATTTTAATATAAAAATGTTGAATCGCAATATTTCGAGAAAAAACGTTGCGAAAACGTTTTTTCATAATATTATATTCAAAAAATGTTTCGTAACGTTTTTTTTGATATTTCAATAATAACGTTGTGAAAACATTTTTTTCATAATGTTATATTAAAAAAAACGTTTTGCAATATTTTTTTTAATATTTTAATAAAAAACGTTACAAAAACGTTTTTTTTCATAATATTATATTAAAAAAAAAAAGTTTTGTACCGTTTTTTTTCAATACTTTAATAAAAATAGTCCTGAAATTTTTCAGGTTTCAGGTCAGGTCAGGTCAAACAGATAACCTGATATAACCTGACCTGACCTGACCTAAAAAAAAATTTCAGGTCAGGTTTATCAATTAACCTGACCTGGCCTGATCCATTCGGAGCTCTAAATCAGGCAGTTTGCTAACTTTTGATCCAGTGATCAGAAAAGGATGAAATATAGCTCATTGGAATCGTCTTAATAAGACAAATCTAATGGTAGTAAAATCGCATTTTTAGAATTAATACTTGATGAGAAAATAGGTATAATATAAAAATAAAAAATATCATTTATATTTTATTTAATTGCAATTTTACTACCATTAGATTCGTCTTGTTGAGATGATTCCAATGAGCTATATTTCATTCTTTTCTGTTACTGGATCAAAAGTTAGCAAATGGCACTGATTGGTGACTAATTGATGCCTGATTTTTCACTTTTTGACCTGTGTACACCTAAGTAGAATGAATGAACAAGTTCTGGAACTTTTCTACAGTTGTTTGCTAAGTGATCTTTTAGCTTATTTGGATGACCACGAGGCTAATATGTCTTACAATAATTACATTTGGCCAAAAAATAATTAGCAGATTTGAGTGGTTTCTTCTCATAATGTTTTCATACTTTACTTTGAGGACAACCACAGGACCCCAGAAAATATTTATATAGGTAAGGTCCCAAAAATATTTTTTATTAGTAGCTCTGAGCATAGGTTTTTACTATGATTGCTAAGCATTGCTAACTAGAGTTCTGAATGGGTCAGGTTAGGTTAAGTTAATTGATAAACCTGACCTGAAATTTTTTTTCAGGTCAGGTTAGGTCAGGTTATATCAGGTTATCTGTTTGACCTGACTTGAACTGAAACCTGAAAATTTTCAAAAAAAATGGTGCAAAACATTTTTTTTGAAAATATTGCGATTCACTTTTTTATATTAAAATCATACAAAAAGGTGAATCGCAATACCGCAACTAACTTTTTTTATATAAAATCAATATAAAAAAGTGAATTCCGATACCGCAATTCACTTTTTATATATAAAATCAGTATAAAAAAGTGAATTCCGATACCGCAATTCACTTTTTATATATAAAATCAGTATAAAAAAGTGAATCCCGATACCGCAATTCACTTTTTATATATAAAATCAGTATAAAAAAGTGAATCCCGATACCGCAATTCACTTTTTATATATAAAATCAATATAAAAAAGTGAATCCCAATATCGCAGCTCACTTTTATTATATAAAATCAATATAAAAAGTGAATTATAATACCATCATTTATATTATATAAAATCATAGTTTCAGGTCAACAGGTCATTCAGGTTATATTGATGTTACAACCTGAACTGATGCTGAATTGCAATTGCTAAACCTGACCTGATAAATTCAGGTTCAGGTTACCTGAATTTGGTCAACCTGTTCAGAACTCTATTGCTAACCTTAAAAATTATATAAAAATAAGCAAATTGATCTTCTAACCTAATTAAATTTTTATTATAACACATATAATTTATAAAATATATTTATTAATTAATATATTTTATTAAATCCAATTTTAAATATGTTGTGAAGCTAAACTAAACATAATATACAAGTAGATTAACAATATTCAATTAATAAAGTTAATAAACAGCAAAAGAAAAATTCAAAATTAATACTATTACAAAAAATGTCAATTTCTCCATAAGTATTATACTTATACCCATAAAAATTAGCATGTAGGTAGTTTCGACCTTGCTGAACAATTTTCAATTAATTTAGAAAGTTGATTTCATTTGACCAAAGGGGTGTAATTACGCTCTGAAGTTGTAAGGGAAGAGCCAGAAATCACGTGTTTAGACATAAATATAGAGTTCAACTCCCTCCCCCCCTTGTGATCAAATACTGTGGCTGATTGATAATCTAAATTCTCACGATTGCTTTTTTTAAAAAAAATAAACTATGCAAACATTTTTGACAAGCCCAAAATTTGAAAAAAAATATTTATACAAGAGTCCAACACTTCTTTACCATGAGTTTTGCAATGCATCAGCATATCAAAAGATGGTTAAACTTTCTAATCCAAACCTACCAAAACAACAATTGTTAGAGGAAGCAAATACAAAGTGGACTGAAATAAAAAAAAATGATATAAATGAAATTAAAAATATAATTAACTCTTATCTAACTACCCCAGTTCCATTAGCAAGATATAGGTTTCAAGTCTCAAATTTCAGAAATTCCCAACCTCCTAGACCTTTTATACAAGAAACTGCACAAATCCGTTCTGAATTTAATGAGGAAAATCAGATATCACAAAATGCAACAGCACAACGTTATACTATTAATGAAAAGGAACGTGCACAAAAAAAAGTAGCAGAATATACTACTATGCTTGATATGGCAACAGATAGTTCTATGTGTACACATCTTGTGAATCAAATAAATACAGAAAAACAAGTAATACTACAACAAAATAAACGACTTAACTACTTAAAGCGACATGCAGCAGCACAAGAAAAACTTTAGGAACGAAAACGGCAATTATTAGAAAATAATATTGTAGAAAAATATGATTCTTCAGGTAGACCTTCCTAATTCCTATGCTCTCAAAAATCCAGAATTATATGATCAGTTGCATGCATGTGTAGAATTCGGTTCAGCAGATAATCAGCGAAGAAAAGAGTGGATTAAAGTTCACACTATTTCTCATCTTTGAACAGCTATGAAAGAAAACTATCAACAATATATGTCAAAATCTTGTCTTCAAATATATCTTTTACCACGTCATCCAAATTCCACCCAAGCAAAATGTCATTATCATCCAGCTCTTATTAGGAATGTTGCAGTATCTAGAAATGAAATGAACTCACATGAAGATGGGCATTATTGTTTAGCTTCGGTAAAAGATGCTAGACAATTTGCAGAAACTTTTCCTGAAAATTCAATTATTATTTCACAAGATGATAAAGCAAAAGTTCCTTTGGGAATTCCAGCAGTAGGTCGTACTTTTTCAACAGTTCAATCACAAAATCAGCCTGTATCTATTTCTGATCATGATTTTCCAGTATCATCAAAACACAAATTAATTCCCTCAGTATATCTTGTAATTGATCCAACTGATACAAATGGGTCAATGCGATCAGAACGTTTGGCAATTTTTGTATGACCAGAATTATGGCTTTCAACAACAGCTTCAAGTCACATGTATGATTTAAAGAAAATTCAATATCTTCAAAACTTTCAGGCATCTTTTTTGGATAATAATAACATGCATCGTCCAATTTTAGTTCTTCTGGTAGATGGAGGACCTGATGAGAATTCACGTCATTTAAAAAATATAAAAGAATATTGTCAGTATTTTCGTAGTGCAGATTTGGATTACATGACAGTTCGTACACATGCGCCTGGTCAATCTGCTTACAATCCTGTGAAATGAAGTATGGCATCATTATCTGAAAAACTTGCAGGAATTACTCTTTCCCATGATAAATATGGCAATCATTTGCGAAATGGAAAAGTAATTGATGATAATTTGACACGTCGGAATTTTGCTTACTCTGGAAAAACTTTATGCGAATTGTGGAAAAAGGATCATATTAATGGCCACTCTGTGTATGCAGAATATATTTCGGAAGATAATATGAGAACAGAAGCACCAGTTTCCTGGCATTGGATAGAAACCTATACACAAATTTGTCGCTAATTCATTTTTTATCTTTAAAATTTTAGCAAATACAAATTTCATAACGTTTTCTTCCCTATTAAACCTAGTAAGATGAAATATGCCTCATTAGATTTGTCTTGTTAAGGTACATTGTATCTATTATTTTCAAGTCTCTAGGATTGATGGATCAAAAGTTATTTGCATTTTACTGTTTTTAAACATTTATCGATAACTTCTGATCTATTGAACCTACAGACTTGAAAATACTGCGGTTAGATGCGTCTCAATTAGACGAATCCAACGAATCATAAATCATTAAATCCTGATCACTGAATGTCAAGATAATGTGATTTAATGGTTATTTTTTAGAAGTGCCCAGATACTTTTGGCAGGTGGGTGTATCTTAGCTATATAAACTTATTGGAGGCAAAAATTTTTAAGGATTTTTCTAATATACGATCTCTCAAATTTTTTGGTAAATAAGTAGTTAGTGTAAATACTATAAAGTCTTGAATTAAGCATTCCCGAATATAAGCACTTCCAGATTTTTATGTTACCGAAAATAAACACTCTTGACCAACACTATGATAATTTTGGCCAATACTACCCAAATATAAGCATCCTTATAACAAAAAAAGGTTGCTTATATATGGGACTTTATGGTATTTAAGTACAAAATTTGTATAACGAATTTAAATCTTATTGGTTAAAAATTTTTTTAAAAAAAAATCTGGAGCAGCTGAATTCAAAAAGGGCAAATTGTGATATGGAACCCAATTTTATAACTTTGCTTCGCCTAATTGTAAAAAATGTTGCAAAGGTTCTAATAAAAATTGCTTTAATTTAAGTTATATAACATTTAATGATGTGTATTGTAAGAAAGTTATAACTTATGTAAATTGCTAAATTATTTCATATATTTGAAAAGGTCATGATCTTATTAATAAAAGTTTCTATAAAAATTGAAAAAAATTATATATATTTATTGTGAAAAATGGTCTCGAGTGAATCATACACTGCTTTGATTGGCATCTACCCTATAAAAAATTTTTCAGAAAAATGATCACGTGTCTGAATTTCTTTGGAATAAAAAACTAGAAATATGAGAGTTTTTCCAGAATTTTTTTATAGGGCTATTGACTATTGTACAAGCTTTCCAACATTTTTTAAAAAACTGTTCCATTAGATATACTATATAGTATATACTGGTATTACGATAATTGGTGGTATATGACAAAATAATCATTTATAATACATATAAACTTTTTAACTCCTAATATGAACAATAATTGTATATACAAATTATACAATACTGTATATGGTGATATGGCGATATATATGCGTTGATGCAGGGATCAATTTAATTATTTTGTATATAAACGTGACACTGCAGTACATTTAATATAAAATTGAAAAACAAATAAAAGATTTCTGCAACATAATTAAAAGATTAACATCATTTATACTTTACGATAAATTTTAGGTTTATTGAAATGAAGAAATGCAGTAAAGTACCAATAATTATAACCCGATTTACGGATTAGATGTTTTACTATACTATTTAGAAAATTGAGCGAGAAATTATTTTATGGAACAATCCTAAATTTTTTACTAAATTAAAAAAAATTTTTTTTTGTTAGTAGTTGCAAATTTTTCTTAGAAAAGATTTTAAAAATTAAAAATTTTGATATTTACGTGACGATAGTGCACTGAGGACCTTTATCGGAGACACCCCAAGTACGTAATAAAATGAATGTAGGCAATTTAGTACCTTTTGGTACTTCGAATTTAATTTTCGAAGTTAATACTTTAGAATTATCAAATTTAAGATTACCGGTCCATAATTGTTTCCAAAATTTTTTATTTCCTTCGCCAAACATTTCACAATTTGCTATTCTATCCATTTTAGATTCTCCTTTTGACCATTTTACTTCAACGATTTCACCATTTCTAACTTCGGTAAATTTATTATCAAATTTAAAACCTTTACACATTTCTTTAAATGGTGAATCTATTGGAATATATAAAAGATGTGAAAATATTTGATTAGACCCATGATTGTTATAACGATTTGGATAATATATTAAATAAATTATTATTACCATTTCTATCTCTTCGAGAAATCTTTTCAGTGCTAACACTTTCAAAGGGTCCGAGCAAGGATACCAAAACCAAAACGACAACAAATAAATTAATGTATTTCGATGAGAAAATCATTTTTATTAAAGATGAATTTTTTTTTTGAAAAAGTATAAAATCTAATTAAAAAAATTATAAAATCTATAAAAAGTATTTGTCTATATTATATATATATATATATGTATATATATAATTTATATGTTTAAAAGAGTGAAAAAATTTTTTTATCAGATTTTAACAAAGGGTAGGATGAGTTGTAGGAGCAAACCTTAGGCTCGAATTTATATAAAAATTTCGAAATATTAAATCTGCATCGAATGTCGAATAACCACAACCAACTAAATCTAAGAAGGATACAACACTGCCGCGATATTTGAGAAAAAAATTTTGATTCGTAAATAATAATTAAAATGTGAGTAATGTGTTCTTTAATACGAAAAATAGAAATTTCTTTCATCTCTAAAAATAATGATTTGCTTTTTATCAAGTAATTAATAATTAAATTAAATTTGTACGCTGAATTAAAAAGAAATAGAAAGCGTCCAATGATTACTTTGTTTAATAAGAAAAATATGAAAATGTAGTGCGAAAAATCTGGGCGCATCAATGTATTCCTGGCGACTACCTATTACAAGTTGGTTACATAAATTTTAATTTATTATAAGAATCGGGAATTCGGATATTATATCCCCACGTGATTTACACAAATTTTCTTAGAATCGATATGGGAAATATGAGCCTTTTACTTTTTTTACAAGGGCGAACTCCAAAAGTGAAAGCTTCAGCCTAGACCTTCCTTACCCTAACTCTAAGATAATCTTCAAGGAAAAGTATTTCAGCCTAAACTAACTTTCCTTACCCTAAGATACTCAAATAAATTAACTCCAAAGATGACTGTTTTGGGAATATAATGAAATTCATATAGATGTTTAACCTATATTCTTTAGATTATTAAAATTAGTGATTATTTTATTAATTATCAAAGACCATAAATTTAAGAGTAATATCTAGGGGCCAACTCAAGGTTACACAGGCCATGGTCATAAGACCAGAACTGAAGCCTATAGTAATTTAGCCCCCGAAAATGACAAAATCCGAAACTACACAAATATATAATTTTTGTCAAGGTTTCGCTTCTATATATTTCAAAAAACTTGATCGGCTATTTGAAATACCTCAAAAATATATAAAAGTTTATTAAATACTTGAAAATAATGCACAACGAAAGAAGAAAACACTATTTTTAAATGTTTTAAGCAAAAAAANTAAATACTTGAAAATAATGCACAACGAAAGAAGAAAACACTATTTTTAAATGTTTTAAGCAAAAAAAAAATTTATTTTTTATTGAAATCTCAAAAAAAAAAGTTTGTAATTTCTAACTTCCTATTGTCATGTAATAAAACATATAAAAATACGAAAGAAATTAACCAGTGGATGAAAAAACTTCGTCTATATAAAGCTAATACGAACAAACTTAACTTCTGAGATCGGCTACTTTCTTATGTGTGCGTGTCGAAAAAAATAATAAAAAGCGAAATTTTAATATGCAATTTCGTTTGTGTAACCAATTTATGAAGGCTTCAGTTCAATCGGTAATATCCCCATTATACTCGTCATATCACGTGATAAAATTATGGTTGGCTTATTTTTGATTGGCTAATTATTTTAATTAGTTAATAAAATTCTGTAACAAAATGGTTTTATTAAATAGGAGAATAAAATACAGTTATTCAAAATTAAAACTTTATAATTATTTATCTGACATAACTAGTAACAATAATAATGTAAAAAAAGAGAAATCTTAACAATAATAAAAAAAATTAGGAAATAAAAAGATGAAGAAAAGAAATAAAGATGAAAAGAAAAGAGATCAAAATAAAAATGAAAGGAAAAATAAAAGACAAAAAAAGTTAAAAAAAAAAATAAATAAAAGAGAATAAAAAAAAAAAGAGAATACAAACAGAAGGAATAAAAAAAAGAAATAAATAAAAGGAAAAACAAAAGGAAGAATGAAAATGAAATAAGGGAACAAAACTAAAATGATGAAAAAATAAAAGGAAAAGAAAATAAAAGATTATTATTAGTAATGAAGATAAAAAAGCAATAAACTAACAAAAATAAACTACTTATTTATCCATTTTAAAAAAAATTGGCAATCTAAGCTAAAAAAAACTAAGAAGTCTAATACTTGTAAAAAAAATAAAAGAAAAAATTAAAATCAAGAATAAACAATAAAATAGAGTCAAAATAAAGATTTTTTTATTTTTCCTATATAAATCATTAAAACTGAATACAGTTTAACCTCGATATACCGATATTTGATATACCGATATACTATTAAAAACTTGTTATACTGATAAAATTTTATTTTCCCACTATATGTGAGGACATATAAATATTGGCATAACTTTGATATAACGATATTTTCTAAAAATTTCATATATGTCCCGACATATCGTTATATAAAGGTTTGACTGTACAGTCAACTCTGAATATAATGAATTCTTCGTTTCAGGAGGTTTAGTTCAGTATATAGTAAATTCATTATATAATATACCGAACTAGTTTTCTTTATAGGTAATTTAGGCCAAATTTGTAATGCTGGCCAAAATTATAATTTCTTTTAACATAAATTTTCAAAAAAATTACTAGTAATTCTGGCCAGCACTATAAAATTGGCCTGGGCTATTATATAGTCACATGACCGTTCGTTATTGAAATATAAAGTTTTATATAGCCGGAATCAGATTGCACTAAGGTATGTTTGGTATTATGAAAACCCATATGAAGTTATTCCTGAACATCTTCAAGAATTAGGTCTTATTGAGTAAATTCGAAACTTTAAATGCTTCAAGTGCGTTATTTTTTCACAAGGCCAATTATACATATACATTGATCCAAATTCATTATTTATTATTTTGATGTACACAATTATCTTTATTAATTTTTACAAATAACTACATATGATTTAATTAATTACTAATTAATTACTAAGTTGATCACTTATGCAAATATACCGCAAGAACCAAAGGATTGTACTCATAATATATGTAGCAGTCTTATTTTGCCGGCTTTTTTACAGGAGTTCGAAATTTATCTAGCCCTACTGTTGGCTGGGAAGTCTCATCGCTCCTGCTTATTTCTTCTTTGAAAATTTTAGCTCTCTTAGCAAGAATGCTTGACGCTCGTCCCACACGTTCTACAAGATTCTATTAAATTTTATTAGTAAAAGCTTGATAACTCAAAGCAAAATTGATCAAAAAAACCGACGTACCCCGTAAACTAAAAATCTTTTACATAATAGAGCGACTTCTCCCACGTCTGTATCTTTCGTCGGTAGGTACTCCGAGGCCCAGTCCCAAACACCATATTGGTCTCCACTGATTTGAATAAGAAGATAGAACCGAATTCTCATTCCGACTATGTGAAAGAACGGTATCAATATCGATGTCATCGCTTTTTGCAGGCTCTCCGGTAGAGGACTTCTTCCACTCTGCTCAATAATTTGATACTCAAGTTCGATGCGTTGAGCCCTGGCGACTTTAATTACATCTACGAAGTTTGTTCTCGCCTTGTCATGATTATCCTTGTGGGTTGGCCCGCTGTTTTCACCAATTCCAGCTTCTCGAGATGAGCTCTACATATAAAATTCTATGTTAGAATTAACTTGTTAATTTTTAATAACCGAACGAGACTTACCCAATATAGAAAATCGCATGGCTTGCCAACACGACTAGTCCCGGAACGATCTGTTTTATCCTCACGGTCGGCATCCGAATGGTTTTCGCCACTATAAAGGAAAAAAGCTTAATAATACAGTCAAATGGTCAAGAATAAGCCAAATTTCTTACTATATGAATATGGTTTTCGGAGTTTTTGCACAGGGTCCGACAAGGTACATGTCGACGGTTCGTTCAGAATTACATTGTCCGTGAAAACATTGGATCCATTCATAACTATTATAATTATTGGAGTTTACTAATATATTGTAATACCGTGTTTAAATTTATAACAAATGTAATGACCAAATCATCAAACTTACGTGTTCTGAATGCATCTCCCGACATATATTGCAGTCTCATCATCAAAATCTATATTCGCAAGACAATCTTGAATTATATTTTTATCGACATCGACAACATCCTATTACAAATTGGTTTGTTATACTTGTAGACATCAAGATAATACATAAAAAACTTTGTTCACCTGTATTTTATCAGAAGATCTTTGCAGAAGATCACATACACCAGCTATTCCGCGTGCACCACATTCCTTTGCGAGAAGTTGGAGACTGACGATTTCCGATAATAACAATGCCTCTATAAGCGATTTAGCGGATTTACTTAATTTTTCACTCTCTTCTCGAATAGTACTTTTCATCATATTCATCAAACGATCGATTTCATCATCTGGTAGGAAATTTTTTGCACGGGGAAGACTTGGACTCGGAGACACGTTCTCCTCACGGAAGTCTAGAACACCCCACCAGAGTGGGCTACGACAAGGAAAACGTGTGAAATTAACGCACAATTATTAGATAGGTAAAAGGCAGAATATAATTTACTCTGTGTGGGCAGACTCTGTGTTGTTTTGAATAGAATTGACGGCATTAATGGCATTAATGTATTTATCGAGTGAGGTTTCTGTTCTGGTCTATGACATTAAAACAAATGGTTAAGGCATAGTATCAGTACGAAATAATGAAACAAAAGAGATATAGAATTGAACTTAGCCTGACCTTCTTGTTGTTATGAACTGGTGTGTGAATATTAGAATCTCGAGAATTTTCCATAGGTGACTAGATGTTAGAAGAAAGTAAAATTACTACACAAAAACATAAATATAATACTGAATTTTCTTAATAACTTACACAATCTCGCTTCTTGGAGTTTGTTACAAATGATTCTAGCTCGTTGGATAAATAGTTTCTTGCAGTTTTGGAATCTTTGACCGAATCATCTATGGTTTCATTGATGTATTCTAACTATTTACAAATCAATGAGTTACTCTATGTACAGTGCAGTATATAAACAATTTGTAAAGCACAATTTACAGACCGATCTTTTTTCGATATTGTCATTTAAACGGTTTTTCTCGATCCCGTTCCAGAAACTCTCAACACTTTGAGAAGTTTTCTCCTTCTTTCATTAAAAAGAAATGGATATCGGTTAGTATAAGATCGAATAGTACTTTTTAATTATCTTATGCGATTGTAACACAGCACGAAGCCTGACAACCAATTAGGACGAACCCAATCTGTTGAACTAACGTGTAGTATATTCAGGGAAGACGAACTCCTCTCTCTCCTGCTAGAACGAATCCAGCTGGTTACTCGATGGTCGTCAATATGTCACGATGTGTCCTAAGACCGGAACATACTCTAGCCCTTGAACTCAGCTATTACTTGCGTATTGCACATCTCAAATACTTAACTTCAAAAGCGAGAAGACATGTTCGAGCTCGCTCGTTGGAAAGGCTTATCAACGTGCTTCTGTACAACATATGTTCCTTATCTTTTTCATACGTAAAGCTTTTGGTTCCCATTCTATAGTGGAGAAACTTTAGTAACGACCATGTCGAGTTATTTTCGAAGAAATCTAAGAAACCTTCCTGTGATATTTGCGACGTCATTTTCATAGATGCTGATGTGGATAAAGATATAGCCATAATGCATCAGTGGTTTGGGAACGGCTTTAGCCTGTTTGCTTTACAAAAATATACATACCTACGTGTTTTTAAAAATTGAGGTGAATGAGGTGAATGAACTAGCATTCAAACAATTTGCATATACTTACAGGGGGTGGTTAGGGATGTTAACAGTTTATGATTGGATGGTTCGAACCGCAGTTTGATCATAGGACCGGTTTCAGTTCAGTTCAAACGTCAAACCAAACCGAGACCGAACCGATAGAAACCGGTTTAGTGAACCGGTTTTAGATCGGTTCAATTAACGGTTACGTGTATCTGCACGCGTAACTTTTTACAATAAAAGAATAACGGATTTTACATTCTTACATTTTTTTATATCACCTTGCATTATTACAACTATGTCGGGAGTTTTTGAAAATGACGATAATAATTTATCAGATGATTCCTTAGCATCTGATGATGAAAGAATTATAAATAAGAAATTGTCAGCAGATGTTTGGGAGTTTTTTCAAAAAATTCAAGATGAGGAAAGTTGGTTAATTACAAACTATAAGTGTATTTTGTGTGCAAAACTTTATTCACCTGGTAATCCAACATCTACACTTCGACGTCATTTAACTAAAAAACATCCATCACATTATAAAAAACCTGAAACCCGCCAAACTACTTTACGTTTTAAACCTTACTCTCCATCAAAATCTAAACCTATCACAGATTCTTTGGTTGATTTTGTTGCAACTGATTTGCAACCTTTTACCATTGTTGAAAATCCTGAATTCAAATTATTAATTAATAAATTGAATCCCCACTATATTTTACCTTGCAGACAAACCTTAAAGGAAAAATTCATAGAAAATTATAAAATGAGAAAAAATGTGTTAATTAATGAAGTCTCACAAATTAACTCAAAAATCTCTCTTACTACTGATATTTGGACTTCAGAAATCTCAAAAGATTGTTATCTTGGAGTAACAATGCATTATATTAACAACAATTGGGAATTAAAAAATCTCTTACTTGATTTAATTCCTGTAAATGGTTCTCATACAGCTGGGTTAATTACTAGCAAGCTTTTACAAATTCTTGAAGAGTTTAGTATCAGTAATAATATTCTTGCATTAACTACAGACAATGGAAGCAACATGATAGCATGTGGTAATCAACTAGCAACTGAATTAGATCAGGAGTTTAATAATATGGCTTTTACTCATTACAGATGTGCTGCACATATTATAAATTTAGCAGTAAAAGCAGGAATGAGTCATGTTGGAAATGAAATCAAAAAACTTCGTCAATTTGTTGTTAAAATCAAGAATTCACCATTATTTTTGGATAAATTATCAGAAATTTGTACCCTTAAAAAAGTTAAATTTCTTAAACCAATTTTAGATATAGACATTCGCTGGAATTCCACATATTTTATGATTAATAGACAAATCTTAATGCAGGGTGTTTCAGAATTACTTGCAACAACAAATGTTGAAGAACTTGGAGATTTATTTCCAACAATATCTGAATGGCGACATATTAAGGTATTTTTTATTTTATAAATTATTATTTATTTTATTTTATAATTATATATTTATTAATTATTATTTTTTTTTTTACAGGAATTAGCAAAGGTATTAGAACCTATGTATGAAGCAACCAATTTATTATCATCATCAAAAAATCCTACACAAGGTGATATAAGATTGGTTTTTAATGGAATGTTTAAAAAATTGGATCATTATCAAAGAGGAAATCACCATACACAAAAGGCAATAGCATCAGCAATTTGTAATAAATTGAAAGCCTATTGGGACAAATATTTGAATCAATCTTCCATTACTTCTTCAATATTAGATCCACGCTACAAAACCACATTATTTAGTCATAATGATATAACTGAAATTATTAGTAAATTACAAGAATTATATTTGTCATATTTACCCTTAAATAATCAAACCATACCATCAGCACCAGCACGATCATCTCGTGATTATTTTCTTAATTTACTTAATCCAAATAATATTCGTCAAGAAGTATCGCATGATGAATTAGATCGATACTTAAATTCTCCAGTAGATAGTAATACAGGTTCTTTAATTTGGTGGAAAACTTATGAAAAGGATTACCCAGTACTATCTCAAATAGCTAAGGATTATTTAACAATCCAAGCAACGTCGGTTCCATCAGAAAGGGCATTTTCAATTTCGGGATTAACTATTTCAAAAACTAGAAATAGGTTAGATCCTGAAACGGCAAGGGCAATTATATGCATGAAAAATTGGATATCAGAAAAAGAAAGAATGGAAAATTGAATCAATACTTGCAATATGTCTTTTTTTTTTTCCTTTTTTTTTACATTATGTGAAATTTTGTTGGTAATTTTTTTTCTTATAATAAAAAATTTTTTGACGATATACGATATATTTAAATTCATGATCTGCATTACACAATTTTGTATAAAATACTATAAATATCCGGTCTAAACTTCGGTCTAAACTTCAGTCCAAACTTCGGTTCAAACTCTGGTTCTAAACCTATAACGGTTCGGTTTTGTACTCAAACCACCAGTTTTTGGACCGAAAACCGGATGGACCGAACCGTTAACATCCCTAGGGGTGGTCGCTGAAATAATTATAAACAACGCGAACGCGGCAGTCACGTGAACGGTGACGGTTAAAACCACTTCCCCAGTAACACCACTAAATTTTCACCCCACGTGACCTAATAATATTCATCACCGGCATCACACCCCACCGCGTTTTCACTGTTTATATTTATCTGAGGGACTTAGTTTTTTTTTTGCCTTCCAAAATTATTTTTTTCACAACCCCTTAACTGTCACCGGTCACGTGGGGTGAAATTTTAATTATAAAATTGGTGGTGTTACTATGGTAAATCGGTTAAAATGGGGTTCTTTAACGTATACTAAGGCCATGGACGTATGATATTAACATACAGAACTGGCCCGAATTAATGCACGTGCACGTGCATAACTCCTAAACTCGGGCCACCAGGTGTACGTTAAGATTGGGGATTTCTTAATGTACAGTGGGGGTGTACAATATTAATGTACGAACTGGCCAGAGTTAACGTTAACACTATCACGTGCAAGTGCATAACTCCTAAACTCAGGCCAGTTTGTACGTTAATATTGTACATCCCTACTGTACGTTAAGGACACCTTTAAGATTGTACACCATTTTAGTCAATGTGATCTTATTGTAATTTTGCCTGAATTAGTTAGCTCAAATTATCAAAATTTTTGTTTAAACTTTATTATCGAAAAGTTATATTTAAAAGGCCAAAATTATTATTATAATAAGAATAAATGAGTTTTAAGAAATTTTTCTTTTAGCTATAATGTTATACAGTGGTTTTTAAATATTTAATGAAATTTATTTAATGGATCATTTTAACGCTCACCGGAGGTAAAATTCATTATATCACGTGATATTTATTATTATATTAAAATTTAGTAAAATTTATCGCATCAAATTTTTTTTGTGTTTGAATAAACAAGTAAAAAAAAGTTTTTTCTATTGACCATTTAAGCATTAATTTTTAAAGTTTTATTGACAAAAAGTTTCTTTTTAAATTACAAGAATATTAATATAACTTCAATTAAACTATTACATCCATTCTATACATGCTGCCCAAATTATTTTGGGATGCCATAATTATAATTTGGGATGTCGTAATTCATTCAATTTATATATAATTTACTATGTAAAGTGCCAAAATAATTTGGGATGTCATAATTGAATTTGGGATTTTACTTATAATTACGGCAGCTCAAAATAATTTGGGTGGCATATATAACCCATTCACTAACCATTTAATCCAAATTTTTTATTAATTTAAAACCTATAGTAATGCATAATATATATAATCCTTTACAATAATGAGAAATGAAATGAAAGTGAAATAGGTTGATAAAAACAGAAATTGGATGATGTAAAACAAAATGAAACAATACAAAGTGATGAATTGAGATAATAAAAAATAAAGTGGAATGTTGCAAAATGAAATGGAGTGATGAAAAATGATATGGAGCAATATGGAGTGATATAGAGTGATGAAAAGTGATATGAAGTGATGAAAAATAATATGAAGCAATATGGAGTAATGAAAAATGATATGGAATGATATGGAGTAATGAAAAATAATATGAAGTGATATGAAGTGATAAAAAATGATATGGAAGCGAAAGTAACAATGATAAATGAAAAGGATAATTAAAAACAAAGTAAAAGCAAAAAGAATGATAGAAAAATAAAAATACTAGAAATAAAAATAAGTCTTACCTTAAACTTCTTGAAGTTATTTGAAATTGTTGTTTTCTGAAAAACAAGTTAACAAGTTAGTATAAGAAAAAAAAAACATTAAACTAGCGAAGTAATAAGAAGATAAAAAAATCTTATCTTAAGAAGTTCCAGTAAAAGCTGGTCATTTTGAAAATAATACTACAAAAAAGCAAAAAACAAAATATGTGTTACACATTTGTATAATATGAAATCACCTGGTGAATTTCACTGGGATAAATTTAAAATTTTAATGCATTGCAGATCAAGGTGAAATTCACCTTGGTGAAATTCACCAGAAGTAAATGTAAAATTAATCCTTATTTAATTATTTAGCAATATTTTATTATAGAAAAATTATGCCTAAATTTATTTTCAGAATTTTAATATTGTAAAAATGTTTAAATACATTTTGAACAATCGTTCCAAAGTAAACCAAAATAAAAAATTATAAATTTCTTGAGTTTACCATTAAAATTCAATAAATATAATTATAATAATTATAAAATACCTTAATGAATCTTCTATTTCACATCAATTTTATTGCTTCAATTAACAAAAAATTTGTAAACATTTACAAAAATCAATCGAAAAATAATATATTGTGTAAATGATTCTTAAACGTTCAAGGCATTGTCCTTTTTCTTTTGTATAAAATAATTTCAGACATTATAGTTTCTATTGGTTTAAAATTTTTTTCAATACTTTTCACCCATCTGAAATTCCCCTTATCTTGTTGATCTATTTTAAATAAAAATTAAATAACATAATTAATAAAAGATTGTACTATTTGCTATAAATATTATTAATTATTTCTTATATTACCTTTAAGAACTTTAAGTATTCTTTCAGTTGTAACTATAAGTTGATTATATAACTCTTCACAATTTTGTAAATCATTTTCTTCATATAAATTATCACCTTCTAAACTTATTATAGATATTTTGAAATCACTTATTAGTAGTAACAAAATTCTAAGAAATGGATATTGGCAATGATGGTAAACTTGATTAAAAAATTCAATAGGTACTACTCCTTTACACCTTATGAGATGTTTATAAATGAAAAATTGGCTAGTCAAAAATGCTGGACAACCACAAATCCAGTTGTTAACATCAGTTAAATATGTATTATTATTAATTGTTTATGTTGAAAGTTCTTTCCATTTTCTTTTAAAAACTTTTCACCATTCCACTTTTTCTCTTTTTAATAAAAATATCTGCTCAAATTTTCTTTGATTATGTGGAATTACCTGCTCCATAATAACAAAAACAACTAAATCTAAGTGTAAACAAAAAAATTTGTATAAAAAGTCATACTTACGAATATATTTGTTTTTAATATAGAAATTTTATTGCTGCATCCTGCTTTTAGTCATAACTAATTTCTAATGTTCTGAACTATACCATTCATTTCACAGATACGTCCAAATATATGGTAAGAAGTGCTGAATACAAAAGTTAAATGCTTTTTCTACTGCCATTATCCAAATGACATTTGAAAAAAAAAATTGACCATCTATCATTGGAATTATTGGATGTTGGTATAAGTGTTTATTCATAAAGTTTTAAACTAATTAATGTAATTCTTTTGGATAAACACAGTCTTTGTCTTTAGTTAAAGTTGGTTTAAATGAAAGGTCAATAAAAGAAAATTTTTGTTAAATCACCAGACCATTATAATTAACTTGTGAATTTTTGCTACTTAACAATTTTGCTAATACTGCTTTTTATATGTATCAAAGATACAGTTGTATTTTAATGTTTTTCTATACAGAACACGTAGCTGAAATCTGAGTGAAATCCTTATCTATTATAAGAAAATCTGGTTCAAGTCCATAAATTTTTAATTAAAACAAAAAGTTAATAATTACTTTTGTTCATATATCATTACCACAATTTCCATTATTTTTAAGAAATAAATACACCATCAGAAATCCCATACCATCAATTTCAGCTTGAATAACATATAGCTCAAATTTTAAATTGTTTGTATTATCTAAAAAATGAAATACAGTCAAACCTTGATATAGCAAACTCTTGACATAATGAATTTTTCAGACAACTATAATAAATTTCCCTTTGCTATAATGAATTAACCAATCAAATCTCTTAAAATCTTCACTATAGCCTTATAGTGAAGTTGAAGTCTAGAACTTAGGGTTCGTTATAACAAGGGTTGACTATATGCATATAAATTACTTGAATTAATTTACTTATATGGATAACTACAATGATATATAATAATGCATTAATACACTTACTTATATATAACATAAAGCTCTAATTGGATCAGTCCTAATCTGACAACCTGGACTGAAAATTTGAATTAGTTCAGTCTGAATTGATGCTTCAACCTGAACTATAATATTCAGTCTGATCCAGTCCAATTTTGGATTATAAATTTAACTCAGGTTGAATTAAACGGGTTAGGACCAGACTGAACTGATAAATATTTTCGCAATAGTTTAAAACTGTTGTGATTATTTAATTATTAAATAAAAAAAATGTTGCATAACATTTTTTTAACATATTATTATAAAAAAAATGTTTGCATACTATTTTTTTAATTAATTTAAAGAAAAAATGTTGCGAAATATTTTTTCTAAGCATATTTAATTAAAAAAATGTTGCAAAACGTTTTTTCTTAGTATATTTAATTAAAAAAATATTTGCGTAATGTTTTTTTAATTAATTTTAAAAAAAAATATTGCAAAATGGGTTTTCTAAGTATAATTAATTAAAAAAACGTTTTTGCAACGTTTTTTTAATTAATTTAACAAAAAATGTTGCGAAACATTTTTTAATATATTATTATAAAAAAACGTTTGTGCAATATTTTTTTAATTAATTTAAAGAAAAAATGTTGCAAAACGTTTTTTCTAAGTATATTTAATTAAAAAAAATGTTTTCGCATTGTTTTTTAATTAACTTAACGAAAAAATGTTGCAAAATGTTTTTTCAAGTAATTATAATTAAAAAAACGTTTTCATAACATTTTTTTATTATAGGACTGGACTAGACTAGACCAAAATAACTGGCCCAGTCTGGTCTAATCCTGGATTTTCCTTTTAATATAAATCAGACTGAACCAAAATAAACTAATTTTTCAGTCCAGTCCTGGATTACTCCCCAACTTGAACCAATCCAGACCATTTAGAGCTTTAATTATAACATTTATTCCAATTTCACCAATTGAAAATTGAAAATTTTATAATATATTCCACAATTTGGTTAAAAAGCCAAAAGCTTTTGATAATTCTTTGTAAAATATAATTTCATAAGACTTCTCCTTAAGCCATTTGTTTGCAGAAATAAAAGCATTTTCATCTTGCTTATATCAGTTTTTACCAAGTTCTACTTACTAAAAACAAATTTGTTTTTAACAGATATTAGTATTTAAACCACGTTTGACAAGTCTTTTGTAGATTTCTCATAAAAGTAGATCTATATTTTCTAATATAAAAGTTTTTATATCCTGTGAAATTTAGAGTCAAACGATCACTCAACAGTACACACGTGAGGTACTACCGGTATGACGAATAGTTTGTAGTTTAATTATATTAGAGTAGTTATTAGGAAATTTTACTTTGTACATACTTAACACAACTATTACAAGAAAAATGGTGCATTGGTTGCCTATCACAATGCTTATTTACATCAGGATTTTTCTTTTATTTTTTTTCTAGACAATCCCTTTAAGAGTAATAGTAATGATACGTTATTGCTTTGGGTTTTTTTGCATTATATACTTTGTGATATCTTTAAAACTAATTCTAATTAAAATAAGAAATCAAATTAAATAAAATAAAATAAAAAATTTAATTAAATAAATATCAATATTTTACATCCAAGTATATTCATCAATATCAGAAATTATTTTTATAATATGGTCAGTTTAATTTTTGGGGTTTCCTTCTAAAGTATTAACATCCACAATACACAAAACTTTAAATTCTAAATTTTCGCTATTCTCTTGTTCATCTTTATCATGAATTGCACATTCAAACAAATTATAATTATACATGAAAAAATCATAAAAATTATGAAACTCCACTATTATTTGATCATTATTATCTGCATCATTTTCCTGTTTAAAAATTAATTTTTGTTGATAAACTGCTTTATTTTTAGTACGACAGGTATTGCATATACAATAAGATTTTTCATTAACAGCAATAAATGAGCTAGAAGGAAGATTTTTTTCGCACCTTTGCAAAATTATTACATATTATTAATAGAAAAAATGTATTTGTAACAGCCTGTTACATATCTTATTTGTAACATCCTTTTTTTATTTTTTTTTAATAATAAATTTAATATGTGTTTCACAAATAAAATTTTTATATGCAAATTTTAATTTGGAAAACTTTTACTTAATGTACTTAAGACAGTTTTTAAAGCTCCGAACGGTTCAGGATAAACTGGGAAACTGATCTGAAACTGGCTCAAAATTCAATTCGGTTCGGTTCGGATATTAAACTGAAAAACCAGCGGTTTAGTTTGATTTAATCCAATTTTTATAAAAATGTGAAAAATTGAATAGCCGTCCATCTAGTGATTATACAAAGTCAAGCTATATATCATTGGATTCGTCTCACTGAGACGCGTCGAATGGTGCTAAGATCATGTCTCTAACACCGATATATAGCTTGTTAATTCCAATTATTTATAAATTATTTAGCGTGGATTAACGTGTGATCTATCGATTCTAGAGACATGATCTTACTGCCATTCGACGCGTCTCGTCGAGACGAATCCAATGATATATGGCTCGACTTTGTATGATCACTAGATAGATGGCTATTCGATTTTTCGCATTTTTATAAAAATCGGATTAAACTGAACCGAACTGCTGGTTTTTCGGTTTGGTTCTTACGGATTTCAGCTCTAATCCGAACCGTCTATAATCCAGACCAAACTGACCCGTTCAGAGCTTTAACAGTTTCATAGACAAAATTTTAAATTATAAGCAGTTTCTTAAAATTTTTTATGTCTTAGTTACACGACTGATCTTTTGTTTTTGTTTTACATTACACCTGATCTAAAATTTTAATTGGATAAAATTGGGGGTTGTTACAAATAAGATGTATAACAGGCTGTTACAATTAGATTTATTCTTATTAATATTATTATTAGATACAAGAGGCGTTAAATTTATTATTATAATCTAAGAAAATATATAAAAAAATTAGAATAATACTTTTAAAATGTGTAACAACTTAACCAAAAAAATACTAAATTTTGGTTTTTAAAGTAATTTTTAAATAAATAAGCATATTATAAACTTCTAAATTTTATCTATTACATTACTTACCAATTATTTTGTTTTCTTTCTTTAAGCAATAACGAATATGGTAATACAGTTTATTATACAAAAAAAAATGTTATTTTCTTTATTTTAAGTTTACTTCTTTTAATAATAAGCATATTATAAGTTTCCTTTTTTTTAATTACCGTTATCACCGATACCTGCCATATATCGGTAGACTAAGCTCATACTCAGTTCAATATTATGCTTGGTTTAGATTTTATAATCTCTTAACTTCTCGCTCTCTTTCATTTATATCTCTTACATTCTCATAATTTCTCTTACAAACTGCAAGAGTTCCTTTTAACTTCTTATTACAATTCATATAATAATTAAACTGGGATAATTTCCCTTACTTTACTTCTCTGGATTTATAATATAATATTAATTAATTCTCAAGCGTACAATGAGCATATTCATATTTGAATAACTTTTAATAATTAATATTTTAATATTATTTTATTGAGCAAAAACTGACTGCAGAATTCTTAATGAATCCCACTTGTATTTATACATGTTAAGAAAATTATTTCTACTATCTACTATTCTTTTTCTATTAAAATTTTAAGAAAATAATAAGAAATAAAAGATGTATTATCATATGACTTTCTCGTGACTAAACTAAACTATAAATATTATTTATCGGTTAATTATTTACCCATCGGCTAATTATTTATCCATATTATATTTTCAGTTAACTAATTATCACTATCTAACATTAATTTCTGTGTAATCTATTCCATATCTTTAGTTACACTGTACCTCTTGACAAGCATGTTTAAGATTTAATAGCAAAAAAAAAAATAATGAAAAAAAACAATTAAATGAAGAATAAAGATAAAAATATATTTTAAATATATCTGATATGTTAAATGTGCTAAAGTCAAATGTTTATTGTTTATTGGTATTGTAAAATGTATGATTATGATTGTAAATCATTATTTTAATTTGATGATTTTGATAATTTCAGATGGATAATTTAGGCTAAAATTATTGGTGTAAGGGTGAAAAAATTTTCTGGTAATATTGAAAAAGATAAAGTGTAATGCAAAATAACTATGACATGATTTTGTCGTACAAGCACAATCACACAAGAGTAATACAGAAATCAGTGGTATAGGCTAGGGTTAACCTCACATATGCCTTATGAAAAGTTTTTATACTTAAAATATACTTAAAATAAGTATTAATTTTAATACACGATATACTTATAATATACCTAAAATATGCCTAAAATACTCTCAAAATATATTTTTAATATACTTGTTTTATTTAAGTACTTAAATTATACTTAAAGTATACTTAAACTAAAATTTAAGTACAATTTAAGTGTATTTTTTTTTACATGTTTAAAATATTCTTAAAATGTACTTAAAATTCAATTTAAGTATATTTTAAGTATATAAAAAATACACTTATATTATACTTAAATTTTAATTTAAGCATATTTTAAGAATATTTTAAACATGTAAAAAATACACTTATATTGTACTTAAATTCTAGTTTAAGTATACTTTAAGTATAATTTAAATACTTGGACAAAAAACAAGTACATTAAAAGTATATTTTGAAAGTATTTTAGGCATATTTTAGGTATATTATAAGTATATCGTGAATTAAAATTGATACTTATTTTAAGTATACTTTACTAAAAATGGCCAATTTTTTGAAATATTTTTATAGACCTAGATACAATGGCTTTCAAAACAATTGTGCAATTATTTTGTAAAATTTTTAAAATATATCAAGATATATTTGAGGTATTTTTGAGATTAAAATATTAAAATAATATCAAGATGTGTATAAGAGACAGTGCATATACAATAAGATTTTTCATTAACAGCAATAAATGAGCTAGAAGGAAGATTTTTTTCGCACCTTTGCAAAATTATTACATATTATTAATAGAAAAAATGTATTTGTAACAGCCTGTTACATATCTTATTTGTAACATCCTTTTTTTATTTTTTTTTAATAATAAATTTAATATGTGTTTCACAAATAAAATTTTTATATGCAAATTTTAATTTGGAAAACTTTTACTTAATGTACTTAAGACAGTTTTTAAAGCTCCGAACGGTTCAGGATAAACTGGGAAACTGATCTGAAACTGGCTCAAAATTCAATTCGGTTCGGTTCGGATATTAAACTGAAAAACCAGCGGTTTAGTTTGATTTAATCCAATTTTTATAAAAATGTGAAAAATTGAATAGCCGTCCATCTAGTGATTATACAAAGTCAAGCTATATATCATTGGATTCGTCTCACTGAGACGCGTCGAATGGTGCTAAGATCATGTCTCTAACACCGATATATAGCTTGTTAATTCCAATTATTTATAAATTATTTAGCGTGGATTAACGTGTGATCTATCGATTCTAGAGACATGATCTTACTGCCATTCGACGCGTCTCGTCGAGACGAATCCAATGATATATGGCTCGACTTTGTATGATCACTAGATAGATGGCTATTCGATTTTTCGCATTTTTATAAAAATCGGATTAAACTGAACCGAACTGCTGGTTTTTCGGTTTGGTTCTTACGGATTTCAGCTCTAATCCGAACCGTCTATAATCCAGACCAAACTGACCCGTTCAGAGCTTTAACAGTTTCATAGACAAAATTTTAAATTATAAGCAGTTTCTTAAAATTTTTTATGTCTTAGTTACACGACTGATCTTTTGTTTTTGTTTTACATTACACCTGATCTAAAATTTTAATTGGATAAAATTGGGGGTTGTTACAAATAAGATGTATAACAGGCTGTTACAATTAGATTTATTCTTATTAATATTATTATTAGATACAAGAGGCGTTAAATTTATTATTATAATCTAAGAAAATATATAAAAAAATTAGAATAATACTTTTAAAATGTGTAACAACTTAACCAAAAAAATACTAAATTTTGGTTTTTAAAGTAATTTTTAAATAAATAAGCATATTATAAACTTCTAAATTTTATCTATTACATTACTTACCAATTATTTTGTTTTCTTTCTTTAAGCAATAACGAATATGGTAATACAGTTTATTATNAGTCCTTTTCTTTTTGTAGGATGATTCAGGATTTTTTTCTTTTTTTTAGGTCAGTTCAAATTTTTTTGTTTTTTTGTATGTTGGGTTCAGATTTTTTTCTTTTTGTAGGTTGTTTCAGTTTTGTTGCTTCAGAGTCTTCTTTTTTTGTAGGTCAGTTTTGGATTTATTTTGTTATTTTAGTTTCTTTTTCATTAGACGCCTCATAATTCTTTTCTTTTATATAGGTCAAACATTCTGGAGTTCTCTTTCTTTTTTTGTAGGAATGCTGACCTTTGGTAACTTGGACGATTGCAGATGAGAGGTTTTGTTTCCAATCTTTTTTTTTGTTTTTTTAGGTTGTTTGATTCCAAATGAACCTGAACTTACAGATAATTTAAATTGCAATAGGTGGTTTTAATAAAGAGGGAATTTTCATAATGTATTTGTACTTTGTTTATTTTTTATTTTTTATTTTAATTTAATAAAGTGAAATTAGATTTATGTAAATACAATTATAGTAAACTGTAATACAAATAGTAAATTCAGTGACCAAATCGTATAAATTTCGTAATAAAATTAGTGATCAAATCATGTAAATTCCATATAAATCCCATGCAAATTCCATATCCAAACCATATTTTTGGTGATACAGAATTGTGCATTTTTCCATATCCTATTATGATACATTATTCCTA